GTGAATCTGGAGACCCCTGGGGCAGCCGAATCCCCACCGGGCAGGAGCTCAGAGCTCGCAGTGGGTCCTCCCCATCCCGCCCTCATTACCCCCGCCTATGAGCAGAGATGCCTCTCTGCTCTCCCTGTCTTTTGGGCTGCTCCCCACTGGGAGAGCAGCACAAAGGAGCCCTCCCCGCTGGTGTCCAGGCCAGCAGCATCTCTAGCGCATGACTTGTAACCCGCCGAGCCCGGCGCTGGTCCTTCACACGCCGTGAATGATAACAGGGAGCCGCAGCCCATTGTCTGCCGGCCGTTGCGCCGGTTTGTCAAGTTTGCGGTTGCATTTTAATCCTGACGCCTTTTCAAAGCCCAGCTGCGCATTGTGTGGGCACAGGAATTCTTGACTTGCAAATCCCACCACCCCTCCCAGCATTAATTTCAACCTTTCTGGGGCTATGGTGATCGTCCACACATTGAATGGGGGGTGGAGGGGAAGCATCTTGCCCCCTGCCATGAATAACAAGCAGATGAGAAGCAGCAGAGGACAGCAGAGAGGCTGGAGGAGCCAAGGTGACAGCAGTAGTGGCTGGGATGCTGGGTACAGTACTCAGCAATGGGATTTGTAAGGAGATGCCTGCCAGCTCCCCTCACCCCTTGCCTGCCACACCAGGTTTGGTGCCTAGAGCTGTTAAGGACCATATGCAGCCCCCAGCAAACAGGGTTGAGCATCCCTTGGTGCTGGACCACAGGGACCAGTGCTGAGCCACAGAGAGGAAGGCGGAAAGGATGGGTATGGGACAGTAAAATGCTGCTGGTGCTGCAGTGCCAGCCAATGGCTGGGCTGGGTCATGTGGGTTTTAGTCTGTCTCCATCTGTGTCAGGGCTTGGGAAGCCACCCTGCAGGCTGGAGGGAGAGATGCTACCCACATCCATGTGAAGCAGACCCAGAGTCAGAGCCTGCCCATGCGGGTGGGAGTCCAGCCTCGATGACCCAGGCGGTCGCGTCCAGTCCTCCAGTTTAATGCAAGCCATCCTCCTGCTCTGCACTGAGAACAATAGGCAGCCTGTGTATGGGGAGATGGGCCTGCTGCCCCAGCTCTCCTACGGGCTGGCTGAACTATCCCCAGACCAGTTGGGCAAGTTTTCAATACAACCAAGTTGTTTCTTTCATTAAAAAAAAAAAAAAAAAAAAAAAAGAAAAAGAAAAGAAAAAGGAAAAAAAGCAAAAGAAAAAACCCACACATTTGTCAAAGCTGAAATGTTTCATGGAACTCTATCATTCGGGCAGGCTTTTGCCAAAAGCCGGGCAGAGTTTTGATGGCAGCCTGCCCGATTTCCTAACCCTTTGCCTAGCAGACAGCCTCCAAACCAAGGTTCCCAGGACTCCTCCGTGCTGCCAGGGCTCACAGCTCCCTGGCCCCGTGCTTGGCGGGAGCAGCAGAGCTGCCTTCCCCTGCTCTGGTGGGAGGACACCGGCTCCAGGCACCGCTTTGCACAGGACCCCACGCCTGTGGGCAGGAATCCCACGCCTCACCCCACGTCTCTTGTCTCTTTTCTGACATCTCTTGTCTGCTGGAAGCAGCCCCAGCAGCCCTCCGGAGCTGGGGCAGCGCGGGAAGTGTCAACTGACAGCTCTGCTTTGTTTCAGGGGGAAGAAAGAGAAACGCAATCCCTTCTCATCTTCTCTGGTGGCCTCGCTTACATCCCAGTGCCTCACTTTGCCAGGTTCTGGGATCGTGAAGCCCTGGGAAAGATCCTGGCACTCAGGGGACGAAGGTAAAAGTCAATCAGAACAACTGGACCCCAGATGCCTCCACTGCTTCCTGCGCCAGCACTGTCCTTCCTCCACCACTTTGCAATACTATCACATGCACATCCTCACCTCCCAGGACCTCTCTTTATGCTCTCCCTCTCCTCTCTCCTCTCCAAGGCCCAGGTATGCTGCAGCCATCCCTTCTCCAGCCAGGCTTCCCTCCTCTGCTTACCTGCCTGTTCTGATCTGCGCAAGGTGGTTGTCCCTGTTTCCTTCTTTGTGTCCCTGGGCTTCTTTCATCTGAGGGCACAGACCATAGTCAGGCTCAGCAGAGCCTGGGGGCCAGGACCACTCACTGGGAGCCTGGAAAATGCCAGAGTATGTATCATGCAGAAGGGGAAAAAGCATTCAGGTTCTCCAGGATACTGGCCAGAAAGCAGGACCCCAGCCATCCTGTCCCAGCAAGAAGATGGCCATGGAGGACTGTATGGCTTGGAATGACGGCTGTCCCCAGAGCATCGCTCTCAGCTCAGCAGAATTCCCCACACCAAGCAGGGAGAGAATTATCCCCTGTTTGTTTGCCCTGATTTGTTTTGAACAAAACTGTGCTGCTGGCTGTTTATCACTTCGTTTTCCTCCAGGAGATGAGGCAAGCGAAGGAGATCAGCCAGAATAAAACACGACCTTTATGGGCTGTGCTGTGGGCTTGGACTTTCCACCTACCGCCTCTGTGTACCAATGGGGCCTGAGATGAGCAGATGCCAGGTGCCATGTTTGGTGCTGGCAGAGGAGCAGCATATGTAGCTCTGAGCTCAGGCCCACGAGATACTCCCCAGCATGTGCTCATGACACCCACCCAGAGAGTTTTTGTGCCACAGCTCAAGTCACTTCCTCACACCCAGCAAATTCCTCCTCCCGGTCCCCATCTCCCCCCCGGTGAATCTCGGCAGAGGAGGGCTGAGTGCCTGTGGGAGAGCACTGCACACAAGACACCATTTCTGGGTCGCTGTGAAGACCCAAGTGTGCAGGGACTGCCCCCATGGTCTTGTTCAGTCCCCAGACAGGGTAATGTGTGCAGCATCCTTGATGAGATATGGTCTTGGTCCTGAGAAGGGTTGGGTTGCGTCTTGGCTTGTGCGGTGTTCAGATAGGAACCAAACATTCATTGCATTTACCACAGACTCTGGCTATGAAAAGCCCTTCTCTGACCCATTTGGGGACAAAACCCAAAGCCTTTTCCCCCAGTGGATTCATCCTGAGATTTGACGGCATTTACTGAGTAGCAGTGGGCGTTAGAGATGTGGTGATGAACTGACGAAGGGTGTCCTGGTGGGGGTGTCTCTAGGGAAAGATGGGAAGAGATCCCAGCAGGCTGCCCCCCTTTGCTCCTCCTCTGAAGACCAGCCTGGAGAGAGGTCGCCGACTGCCTAAGCCAAACACTCCGTGTGGACACAGTCTGCTGAGCTCAAGAGGCAGCTTCGACACCGCCAGCCCTTCTAAGCCTCAGCCCCACTGACAGCGATCTGCCCAGTGTCCTACTGGTTGCTGAGGGACTAAAGAGCACTGAGTCACAGACACACAAAAAAAATCTGTGAATGGGGACAGTGAAGGTGACAGTTCCGAGCTTCCATGAGAACAAAGCATCTGTCATATGTCCTATCTCCTGCCTCGGTGTTTGGGTGAAGGTCCTGAGCTTCAAAATCCCCCACCTGAAGCACCATGAAAGGTATTCTCCATCTCCACCAGATGCCCAAGCATGGCAAGGGGAAGTGATTTTTGGTCAGAGCTAACGCATACCCCTTCCAGACACAGAAGAGCCTTTGGGCATGCACAGGGAAGCAGGAGAGCATGCAGACTTGCCTTGGCAACTCTGGGAAAGGCAACCAGCTTCCTGAAGGCATTTAGGAGCACCTTGGGAAGGCACACGCTGCCCTACGCTGTCTTCCTCTTCCCTTCACTGGGTCCCCAGCAGGTAGCGAATAACCCAAGCAGGTTTGTTCACAGTGACATTTGGAGGATGCCTCCCAGAGATGAGTCAGGCTTTGCCTGCTGCGGGAAAACAGTGATGCAGTCTTGTGGGACAGCTTTAGTGGCTGTGGAGGAGGCACACTCACCTGAGCCAGCCTCTCTAGTCTGGTCCCTGGGAGCTGCACACCAGATTGAGTCCTGCAAGGGCATCCCAAACACCCTTCCCTTTCTTCCACAGTCATTAAGGTGCTTAGAAACTCCTGCTGCAGCCAGAACTGAGGTGTTCTTTCAGAGAGGTGGCCACCCAGAAGTATCTCACGTGCCTCTGCCTGCAGTATGGTGGGCCCCATCCTTGCCCTGTTGCTAAGGTGCTTAGCCTAGCAATGACTGCTGCTGACATGAGACCTTAGACACTGCCTATCACATTTCCATCGAGCAGCAGAGAGAAATGAAAACAGAGATCCAGACAGGAGGAGAGGAGCGGAACCTGCTAATTACAGTGGTAGAGCAACATTCAGCACCTGCTGCTGGCAGTAGGGTACTTCTGCCAGGGGCTATATGGCAAAACAGGTTTGGTTGGTGGTGAGAAACAGGGCAGAGAAACAGGATCTATCAGGGCCAGGAGTGGTGGGGAAAAGGTTGGTCTTACAACAAGGAAATAAGACAAACTGGTGGGGTTAGAAGCTGGGTGAGTGCATCAGTGACGCACCCACTGCAGACACCCTGGGTCTCCATCACCACCTTTCCATCACCTCTGCGCTCAGCTCTGTGCAAATCAGTGCTCTCCTCCTCCTGCCGCTCTGCCAGGGTGATTTGTGTCAGCAGGGGTTCTGGCCAAGGTGATTGCAGCAGCCTATTTTTGGGAATGCCCTTGAGAATTGCAAGCCAGGAAGGTGGAGCCCGACTGCTCCAGTGTCCGTGCCCTGGAGAAGCACTAACCCTGCAGCTATGCTGGCTGCAGTCCAGGGCCTTGCTAACTGCATTGGGAACCTTCAATAACCCAGTACCCGGGTGCTGGAGGGGCTGCCTCCAGGCTCTCCTGGTGCTGGGTGGGATACAGAGGAGCTCAGCTGGGGCCACTTCAGGCTGCAGGAGATGGGAATGTCTCCATTCAGGTGCTGGGATGTTGGCTCTGAAGGTGCTCCCTAACTCAGCTTGGTTGCTGGATGCCCATGGAGTCGCTGGGGTATTTATTTGGCTCTGAGAGTCATCAAGGGGCTTGTCAATGCTCACTCCATTTTAGGTACAGACAGGGATTTAAGGGAGAGGTCTGCACCCAAATGTACATGCATGCTGTGTTGACCATGGAGCTTGATTTAGCTCATCTTAAAATTCCAGGTAACACCGCACTGAGGTGTTGTTCATCCCCAAAGCTGCCCCACTTCACCTGAACACAGCATCAGAGCATGAACAGGGATCCATGTGAGCAGCTTGTTCCTGGGCTTCACTTGCTCTGTTGACCTGCAACACCATGAAATGAAGGCAGAGACCTGGGTAAAAGCATGCTGAGCACCCTGCAGCTTTGCCTCCCAGACCGCCCATGCAGGATGGGTGTCACCCTGTGGGACCTACGGTGATGGTGACACATGAGATCCTGCTGTTTTCAATGTTGTGTTACACCTCAGGGTATGAACTTTGCCTTGCATGAGAATGGGTGGACTAGCCAAAAGGTTGGTCTTGCCCAGGTCCTGTCTCCAGCAGCAGCTGATACCTAGGGAAGGATGTAAGAAGAATCAACTAGGTTGAAAAAGACCTTTAAGATCATTGAGCCCAACCATTACCCGGCTGTCAAGCCCACCACTAACCCATGTCACTACAGGCAAACTGATCTCCCCTTACAACTGCCCCTCATGATTTCCAATCACAGCCACCACTCATCTGCCCCCTCATAGTGCCCCACACTGTACAGCTGCTGCCTCTGCACCTCATGGCCACCCCTCAAGATCTTCCCTTATGACCACCGCTTGCAGTCCATGGCCACCCCTGCTGTCCCTTCACTATCTCTCTCCTCTCACCTCTCATGGCCACCCCTTATCTCCCCTCACTCTAGCACATGCCCTACTTCTCCCATCACTTGCCCAGCCCCTCGCTGGCCTTCCAAAGCTGGGTGCCATTGACAGAGTGCATGACTTCAGTGGGTTTCTCGACCCTAATCATGTGTCAGTGTTCATGCTATGATGCCCTTTCTCAGGGAGCTCCACAGCACCACGATATATTACTTGAAAAGTTGCTTCCTCCCATCTGCTTTGACTTACTGTCTGAGCAAGCCCTGCTCACCTTCCCTTGCTGCTCAGCTTTGTCTGCATCTCCCAGCTACCCCTCAGGTGTCTCTTCTTGCTCTGGCTGTCCATGAGAGGTAGCTGTGGCTCACTTGTGTGGGTGAGAGATGCTGTGGCCTGCAGTCACCCAAGGAAAGATGTGGTCTTGTGATACCCTCCAAATACTGCTGAATCTACCTTTCTGGCACACCTGCTCAAGACAAGAAACCCTGTCACCCCTCTTCTAATGAGGCACAGCATGGCCAGGTATAGAACACAAAACAAGTGGTTGCAAACCAGGCACTGAGCCTACAGCTGCTTGTCCCCATCCGAGAGGTGCTTTGCTAAGCTCAGTCCACCAGCTGACCAAAATCTGTCCTGTCATTACAACAACCGACCCTCCGGTGCTGCTCTTCGTTCGGTGCTGTGAGCATCACCAGGGCTGCCACTGCCTCAGGTGCCTGTGGAAAGCTGGCTGGAGAGAAGTCACATTTCACATGCAAAGGGAAAGAGGGGATGGAGGGAGGCAGGGGAGCAGCTGAGCCACTGGAACTGTTTGTGCAGCCATAATCACACCAGAAAGCAAGGCAACAGCACCTGGAAAACAGCCCTTGCATGAGCCAGGCAAACAGGCCCGGGTGATAAGCACCGCTGAAAGCAAAGCCTGGTCACTCACTCCCCTGGACAGCGTGTGCTCACACACTGCCTGCCCTTAGGGTCAAAGCTTTGCTCCTTTCTGTTCATGGAAGAATTTCTCCCTCCAGGTTTTAACTTTACATCTGTTTGCCTTCATGAAATATTAGTTGCTTTGTTAAAGAGGAAGGCCAATTGTTTTTGGCAGTTTGTAAAGGTCCCACCCAATGGAAACGGAAAAGAGCAGAGGATGGAGGAAGGCTGGGAGGGAAAGTGTCACAGCCCTGCCTGGGGCATCCGCTGCTCTCTGCAGCATGGCTGTGGTCTATGTGCCCACATTTCCCTCACTGGGCTCCCTCCAGCTGACCCCTCCATAGGGCCAGAAACCCAGTCAAGGGCAAGAAGTGTGGGGCCAGACCCCATAACCCACCTGAGCTGTGAACCTCCGTGCTGTGTATGGTCCATGTAGACACTGGGGCACAGGGGGTTGCTCAGCTCTGTCACCAGGAGAGAACCTGGCATCCCTGGTGTTCAGAGATGCTCAGGTGCCATTCTGGGAAGCACAAGCAGGGACTGGGAAGAGCACATAAGCAAGGCATCCTCCCAGCAGCTGAAGCTGGTGGGAGAGACAAGACAGACTTTCCCTCTCTCGCAGCCCTGTCCCACACACACACACTTCAGAGGAGAGATGCAAAGACCTCTGTTCTCGGGGCTGGCCTCCCCCCGCTCAGTGCGACTCCTCTCGCTCACTCAGCAGCTCAGCCCTGAATCCAGGTTTACGTATAAATAAAAAGCGAGTGCAAAATCCACCCTGGGGTCTCTCCTGACTCCCACTTGGCTCCCTAATTGGAAAGTCTGCCAGCAGGAGATACTGCAATGAGCTAAAGCAGAAACAAACTCCCTTTATCCCAGGCAGAGGCGGTGTGTGGGGTGAGGTCCCCAGCCCAAACCGCACCGGCTGGGAAGGACACGGAGCAGATTAGCACAGACTCAGCTAGGCTCTGGGTCTCCATCAGGGTCTGGGAGCTTTGCTGCTCTGCTGTGCCCAGAGAGAAGGGACAGGCATGTATCAGAGAGGATCGTGCAGCAGCTCATCCCTTGGGGCAGCACTTTGCAAGCCCTGACCACTTGATGCCAACAGGGAGAGACATTAGAACAGAGATACGATCCCAGTGCAGCACTGCGTATGTGTGTGGCTCAAACACCTGCATCCTCACAAAAAGACACCTGATTTTAAGGTTCCCCCATTTGCTCTGTGCTCAGGAGAGACGTTTCCCCAGTGCATACACAGATCCCATCGAAACACTGCTGACCTACAGGGACACCCCCTCCATTTGAACAGCCTAAAGGAATAAAGAGTCAGACTCCCATCTTTATCTCCTTCCTGGAGGGGAAAACTGACCTGCACACCTCAGGTCCTTTATTACTGTCAGCCAAGCCCCATTGTCGCAGATGGTGTTTCTCACAGGGATGGCAGCACCACCTTCCATGGAGGCAAAGTCCCCACACTTCACCAAGCTACATTGCACCTCAAACACACGCATCAACAGCCAAGAGCCACCTGGCACTGTGAAAGACAGCGAGGAAACCTCCTCCACCAAACCCCCATTGATTTTTTTTGCTGCCTTCTTTAGTTTTTGGGGGCCCTGGCGGCACAAACATCGCCTCCAGTAGAATGGCTTCAAAAGCAACAATGATCTCAGTACAAGCAGATCAATGTCCTAGCATTTTATGTTTTCTGAGAAAATAACACAGCTCTTCTGCTCCCAGTGTTAGGGAGGTTTGTTATGCACATTAGGATGCTATGTTTGCCCTGAGAGGAGGGGCTAAGTGCTGTACAGGTTCATATTCTTTTGGTGTAGCATCACCCAGCCTCAACGAGCTCACCAGATGAGGAGATGGGGAAGAAACCCAGGGAGGGAGGAGGAACAAGGTGTTGTTAGATAGCTTGTGAAGCCAAAACCAGAGTCAAAACAGGTTCCCTGAGCTGCTGACCACCATTCTTATGCAGAATCGATCTACTCCCATGAAGAACAGAGGAAAGATGATGCTTTCTCTCTGAAAGCTCATCAGCATTTCTGGTGGGTGCAGGACCCAGATAACTGGGAAGTTAAACTTCTTCCAACAGAAATACAATTTTCTGACCATTTCTTTAATGGTCAGAAAACAATCCTGACATATGGCATACAATGGTATTGCTCACATTGTCTGTGTGCGCTAGAGCATCAGCTGACCCAGAAAATGGTTTATGCCAAAACACAAGCAAAACCAGTAAGATCACTGCTTTGTTCATGACGTTTGGACCAAGAGGCAAGATGAAGATGCAGTAGATTCACATACATCTCCTACACACACAAACACTGCTTCTGTGGCTTTTGGAGAGTTTCTCGTACTCATTCCTATGATTTACCCTCCAAGATTGCACAGGAGCTTGCAAAAGCACCATTATAGCTGTATTTTCTTCCTGGTGAGATCCTGGCAGCTGAGTTTCACAAGACTCTCCCTTCTACTAATCCTACTTCCTGGAGGCATTTAGCAACTAATCTGGATTACCTATTGCTAGTGTTCTGTGGCAAAAGAAACCTCATTGTTTCAAGTCCTGTGGGCTCACTGCAAGGCAGTGGCCCATGGGAACATCCCTTTGTCTTCCTAATTTGATTTAGGCTGCTCCCTTGCCAAGACCCCTCAAGTCTCACGTGTATTTAAGTGGGCCATGGTGTGGGCTCCAAATACACGCTTCAGCTAGGGACATTATCCTGTTGTAGCAGCCACCCTCAGACCTGGGCTTGCAGCAGGAGGATTACTGCTGTTTAGCAGTGGCTTGTTAACAGATGCCTTAAGGAGATGCAGACAGCACAATGCTGACCCACAGCGTGGAGCTGGAAACGCCTTCCTGGTCTGATCTAGACAGGAGTTTTCTACTTCAGAGCATCCCTTTTCAGGTTTTGGCCAGCCCATGTCACTGCGGGTCAGAGCATTCAAACACAACAAGTCCAATTGACCACATCGAACCCTGAAGCAAACCTCTGGTTCCAGTCAGCCAAGGAGCAATCAGCAGGAGTCAGGAGTCCCAGAGCTTCGCAAGCCAAATGTGCCCAAGCTTGTGCATATAAAAGCCCATGGTCTGCCAGTCTTGGAGCTATTTTCCCAGCCCTCCTCCAGATCCTTGACTGTGTCATTTGCGAGGTGGGATGCGCAGAGCTGCCTGCAGCACTCAATGCAAGGTCACCGTGACACCACCCATCTCTCTAACGCCTTTGTGAAGCTCTTCACATCCTTCTCAACAGTCTCCTCCACGAAACCTCTCAGGTTTATTCACCTTTCCAGTCACTGCTGGGCTCTTGAGCAGAGGTCCTCATTCACTTGTCACAAAAGGACCCGATTCCTGGGAGGTTACAGCTGACTCAGAGGCCCTCAGCATAGAGAGTGGCTTTACAGAGGCTCAGGATGGGCTCTGCCCCCCTTTCGTATGCACCACTCTGCTTGTGCTCATTTATTCCACACACTGCTCTTGGGAAGGAGCAGCCTGGCTTTGTGACCAGGGATGACCTGCTCCAAAAGGAAGGATGCTGGTGGCTGTACCTGAAGTCTTCAGCTTGCTCACTGAGCCACGAAAGACAAAGGCACCAGCTTGTCCCCAGCAGCAGCGTCACAATGGTCATGGTGCCAGGATGCTGCACTGCAGTATGGCAGTTCCCAGGAAAACCAGTTGGGGCTTGTGGTGTTAGCAAGATTTCAAAGCTGGTTGTCACAAAAGCTTTTCCTGCCTGCTGACCTACTCCTGCCTCCCCAGTCTCCAGCCATCACTACTTCATACGTAGCTCCAGAGACGACAAGCCTCTTGCCTGTCCTGGTGAGCACTTCAGGTAGGGTGAGGCTGAATTGCTCCTGAGCTTCCAGACACTGCACCAAGCTCTTTCCAGCTATTCTGGCCTCTGCCCTGGCTGTTTGCTTCCATGCCTCCTGCAGCAGGGCAGGCAGTGGCTCTCTGATGCAATACACCATTGGCAAGGAGCACTGAAGCTGGGTAGCTGGAGGACAGTCTCCTCTGCTCTACATGGGTGAATGAAACCTCCAGTGGTGAGGCAGGACCTTGCTGCAGACCTGGATATCTCTTCCACCTGTGGGATCTTTGTCAGAGCAGCTTGGAAAACAGTATGGAAATGATCCTCCCTTTAGCACTGCCCCAGAGGGGTTCCCAGGTGCTGGGGAACAACATGGGGTCACTTTCCTTCCCTCCAAGCAGGGCAGCCAGCTCCTCAGGGCAGCACTTCAGAGCAGCTGAAGCAGCATCTCCTCCTGGTCCAATAGGGAAGAGCTGACCTCCTTCGGAGCGGAAGTGCTTCACCAAGCTAAAATTAGGTTTTCTAAATATCCTGCCCTTGCCCTGTGGCCCCAGAAGCAATTCCAAGGCCCAAAGCACTGTGATGACAGCCAACACACTGTCCCACAGGGAAGGGAGGTCCCATGTTCCTCCTTCCAACCACAGCGCATCCCGCCCTGGCTTCCACACTGCCCCAGCTCCGCATCAACTGCTTCATCTGTAACAAAGGATGCATCAGAGCCTGTGACAAACCAGGCAGAGCAGCCCAGGATCGTGTCTACCAGAAGGATAATGTCATGTGTTGTGCTTGAGAAGCCCATCTGTGTGGTGGGGAAGGACCAGCCATGACCACTGCCTCCCCTTTGCATTATAGGGCCCAGGACTAGCCCCAGGTGGATCCTCTCCTTGCTGAATAACTTAGACATAGCTCCCCAGCTCCATATACTCAGCTGTTCCGCTGATACGGTGCCAGTCTCAACACATGGAAACCAGGCCTTTGAAATCTTCCATAAGCTCATGCAACTTTACATTAGCACATAGTCTATGAGCTCGAAGCCTACAGGCTGAGACCAGCAAGCCTTCCATAAAATATCTAGCAAGGTAATGGTAGCTTTACATGAAGCAGAATGAAACTCTGGAGTCGTCCATCTTCCCAGCTACCACATTTTCTTGGCTGAATAGAGCTTTTATTTAACCATAGCATTAGATTCAGCACCACCTGTTTTCTGCCTGTGTCACCAGGACCTGGAAGGAATGCTTTTCTCACAGCTTTCGATGCTATTTGCGAGGATATGGCTCCTAATTGCAGCTCTGCTATGTTAACATTTCCAGGAATTTTCATCAGGCCATTCAACACAAATGCTTCGTTTCTGGGAGGTTCCTTTCTCTTAGGAAACTTTTTGCTATTCTTCTCCCAGTCCTAGAGGTAAATCAAAGGAAGATGGGAGATAACAACGTTCAATGTCTTCATGAACCAATTTCTGAAACATTTCGTGCTCAGGGACCATCCGCCCCTTTGACTTATTCCTCCTTACTCCTCCTTACAAAGCCACAGCTGTTCCCTTCAAGACCACTTTCTAATCCACCCCTTTGTCAAACTCCAGCTCTACAGTCCACAAGCAAAGCTGAAAACCCATCCCTACTTCCCCTACCCCCTAATTGATGTAGGAGGGCTGGACAAAGCCCTGGCCCCAGGTATGACCTGGCAAGAGATGCCCCATCCTCTCCCATCCCTTCCCCATGCTCCTGCTGAGTGGCTGAGTGATGAGGGCTCTCAGCCTGCTCCCAGGCGGTCCCAGCCCATTGTCACCATGGTGTCAAGGGTTTCACTCAGTACCTCCTGGGCAAGCCATTGGCCTGTACACCTTGGACCCAGCCCTGACCATTGCTGGAGGGTCTTGCAGCCACGGGCAGGTTCCTGCTGCCCAGGTGGGGCTACGTGAGGTGCTCAGCACCACAGCAGGCAGGTCCAGCTCAAAGTTGTCTCCCTGCCCTACAGATGGAATCCCCTGTCACCAGGCCACCAAAAGCATCCCTGAGGTAAGCTGTGGGTTGACACACTGCCTGATCCCCATGAACTGGCAGCAGACAGCAAACAGCATCCTGCAGCCTCTGCTCCCAGCAGACCTGCTCCCCACTCTGTCCCTGCTCCCTTGTCCCACTGCTGGTGGATGTTTGCAGCTGGCTCACCCCACAGCTGCCCTTCCCAGCCCACACAGAGGCCCTCTTCTCCTGCCTCTATCTGGACACCAACACCAGCACTGCCTGTGCTGTCCCCAGTGCGTTCCATTGGCCAGTGTTGAACGTGCTCCACCACCTGCTGCCTTTCACATCTCCCCCGCAAAACCCTTGGCCCAAAGCCCTGCAGGCAGGGCTGATCCTCTGGAGATATCTGCCAGCACAGCCTGCCTGGACTCGCAGCCCTCCCCGAGGCAGCTTTCCCCAGGGTAGAGGGGGAAGGAGGCACCAGTCCTGTCTTTCTTCATGTCAGCACCTCCTGCCCTCATCCACGGGTCGTACCACATCTGCATCCCCCATCCCTGGGTCGTGCCGCATCTGCATCCCCCTAGCATCCTCTGCACCACTGGTACCCACTGCACCACCACCTCCATCTCATCCACTGGAGCTCCACAGGGGAGTTCACAATGTTTTGATCTCTCTGCCTGGGGACAGTTCCCTTGTTCTTGTTACAAACCCCTTCCCTGCAAGCTGGGAATGCTAACCCCATCCCTTCACACCACTCAGTGGGAGCAGATAGGGGTACCATGGTGGAGAATCCCATCCCACCAGCACTGCAGGGCAGTGGGGTGTGAGGGCAGGCAATGGGCCCTCAGAGAGGACCAAGGAGCTGTTTGGACTCATCTGCCTCTCCCTGCCTCTGCGGGAGGGTGTGGGTGAGATCCTGCTTGCCAAGAGAGCCCCATGGTTTGCCCCTTGGGTTGTTTATGGCTTGGACCAGATCAGGTTTCTAAGCTCTTCCCAGTCCGGTATCTTTGGGTGGTTGTTTTTATCTCGTGACAAAAGAACACTGATTTTCTCCTCTTTCCTCCCCCTCCCATTCTCCACCCCGTGATCTGTGGCCTGGCCTGAAGATGGTGAGCAAGCGGCAGTGCTCCAGCACACAGCCAGGGCTGAGCTGCCCCTGAGTCCACTCAGGTCACCTCTGAAGAGCCCATGGGCCTCAGCATCACCCTGATGCACCCGGCCAAGCAACATCCCCATGGTCTCCAGCACTGCCTGCCCCATCCTCCCAAGAGAGCAGGACCTAAGAAAGGAGGGGACAATGCTGTGGCCCCTTCTGCCTCCAAAAAGATGTTTTCAGCTCCCTGCTGAGCTGGAGGCTCTCAGCATGAGCCACCATGCGCCTCAGTCCCCCACTGCAAACAGGGCTGGGAGCCCTTTCCCAGGGTGCTGTGGGGATGAATACAGCAGATAGCATGATGTTCCCAGAGCAGGTAACGTCCCCCTAATTAAGATAAATACTAATTAAGTCTGGGACTTTGAAAGAAGCCCTGGGAGCAGACTCCAACTCCTGTTGAATTTCAATGGGAACGAGACACCTGACTCCAGAAAAACCCAGCCTCTGATATTAAGCTTAAATGGGCCCTTCTCTAACACTGATATATTGCTGCTCTGTAAGTTATGAGTGCCTTCCCGTATATCCGAGCACAACATCAATGTCCTGGAAATGCTAATCAGGAGCTTTAGGAGGGCAGCAGCGGACAGGCTCCGAGTCAGATGCCCATGATCATCCTCTGCTATTAAACATTATGGACAAGCTTTGAGCAGAGCTCACCCGTATTGCGCACAAAGCTCTGGCTGAGCCCCGGGTGCTTTGTGCATCCCTGCTATCTACAGAACTGCCTCCTCCTCCTCCTCTTCCTTCTCCTCCCCGATGTGGTGAGATTATGCTTGCCAGTGCAGGTCCTGCGCTGCCTGGGACACCTTCACCAGGGTGAGCAAGGTGAAAGGATGGTGCCCACCTGATAGCTGGTTCACGCACACGGTTGTGAGTGATGAGAGCAGCCTTCCAGAGCCCACCAAAGGAAAGCGATGGGAAGCAAACCCTTTCCCTTAGGAGCAGACTCCCAGGCAGCCACCAAGTGATGGGAGGGCTGCAGCCCCCCTTTAAGATGCCCACCCCATGCTCATGCATCATTGCCTTGTCCTGCAGAAGGTGTGAGCCACCCCTGCAAGGACCATGCTGCGGGGCTGGGTGGTCACGGCAGCAGGAGCCATTTGGGGAGGTGGAGGGGCATAGCACTGGTGTAGTGATGGAAAAACACCCGGTGAGGGTGATCCAGGAGCACGGATCATCCATGCCTGAGCTCGGGCTGAGGAGCCGTTTGGGAACACTAGACCGTGAGACCCCTCCGCAAGCCACCACGTGTGCCGCTGGCTCAGACCCAGCATTGTGACCGACTGGACTTGGCAGGCCCATTGCCAGCCCAGAGGTCTGCAGAACACAACCTCTCTGTCCTCCTGTCCCGCTCACCAGCGCCTGGTTCACATTAGCATTTCCCCTGCGCCCTCCTCCAGCCATGTGGGCAAATCCCCTCAGCTGTCTGCAGTGGGATTGGCCCTGGAGCCCCGCTTTGGTTTCCAAGGACTTTTCCCAAGTCTCCGGTACACTTTAGCAATTAGAGGGTTAAGTTTCCTCCCGGCCTCGCTGCATTAACTGGAAAGGAATGAAGTGTCAGGCATGTTCTCACCACAGCAGGCTGTTGGAAAGCAACTCCCTTCTCCACGCACACACACCTCCCACTGCTGCGACCAAATTATTTTCTATCCTCCAGAGACCCAGTATGCCAGACAAAATCTGCAGCATGACTCTGATTCATTGCAAAAGGATGCAGATGTAATATTCCCTTCTCCCTTTTTTGTGTGTGCCGGGGCTTCTCGCAC